TATGTACCTCGGAAGTTCCTCAGGAACTCAGCATAAAGGTCTTCCCAACCCCTGATTGAGTCGAGGGGAGGGTGTGCAACCAATCCCGAGCTGATCCTTCAACATGAGGGACAAGGGCTTCACAATAAGGTAATCATTACCATTAGCCACTTGAACCATGAGGATGTAATAGGCAATCCAAATCGCAAGCTCCGTGGTGCGTCGTACTTACCACAATTTGTGAGTTTTAAGTGTGACAGGAAAGGATGCGCAATGATCTTGTCCGAGAAGCAAGGAGGGCACATAGTAGACCGGCCCCCCTAATTTTCGGAGAGCATCGATGGTATGACATGAATCATTGATGTCATCATCCTCAACATACTTCCAGAAAGCCGACATTTGCCTATCCCTAGCCTAGTTGCATGGTCGAGCCGCTTGATCGACTAACGTCTCGTGGTGGTGCGAGGGACGTGGCATATTGTGCCTAGCCTTGTAAATCTTCTGACAAGCATCATCCTAGGGCGGTATCCGGTGTTGCTCATTGGTGAAGTAGCTCGATTTCTCCTAATGTCTGGAGTCTGAGCTGCCCGTGTTACGTGACGCCTTGCGAGCGCGCTTCCGCGTATCGGCCTACTGGCCTTCACGGCTAGGAAGCTGATCTCCTAAACTGTGGCGCGGGTCTTTAGCCCACGTGCATTTAGAAATTGCACTGTGGTCCGCGGCATCAAAGTTCTTAATTCGGTTCTGACCATGGTTGGGCAATTCCTTCTTGGCTTCCTTCCGCTTGCTCTCACCCTTCAGATTTTTAAAGGACTTGGTTCCGGTGGTCTTCGGTTGCCTGAATCTGTCCGAGGAGCTGGTTGTTATCTCGGGCTACCTTCACTGCCGACCTGAGTAACCTCTCCCGGGCTTCATCGTGACATGGGTTGCCAAGCGATTCATCTAGTATGTCCTCGTCGTAGGGACCGAGTGTTGGGGAACGTAGCAATAATAAAATTTTCTTACGTATCACCAAGATCAACCTAGGAGATTCTAGCAACGAGAGAGAGAGGGAGTGCATCTTCATACCTTTGAAGATCGGTAAGCGGAAGCGTTACAAGAACGCGGATGATTGAGTCGTACTCGCAGCGATTCAAATCGCGGAAGATTCGATCTAGCGTCGAATAGACGGCGCCTCCGCGTTCAACACACGTACAGGCCGGGGACGTCTCCTCATTTTTCATCCAGCAAGGGAAGAGTAGAAGTTGAGAGAGAGCTCCGGCAGCACGACGGCGTGGTGGTGAAGCTTGTGGTTTTCCTGCAGGGCTTCGCCAAGCTCTACGGAGGAAGAGGAAGTGTTGGAGGAGCGAGGGGTTGCGCCAAGGGAAAGGTGCGGCTGCCCTCTCTCTCCCTCACTATATATAGGGGGAAGGGGGAGGAGGAAGCGCCCTAGGGTTTCCCTAGGGGAGGGGCGGCGTCCACAGGGGAAACCCTAGATGGGTTTGGGCGCCCTAGGAAACTTGCCCCCCAAGCCGGGAGGGGTGGCTGCCCTAGGGGAGGTGCCCCCACCTCTCCAGGTTATGTGAGATGGGGTGGGACGGGCACGTAGCCCTTAGTGGGCTGATGTGCCCCCTCCCCTTGGCCCATAAGGCCCCCCAGCACTTGTCGGGGCCTCTGTAACCCCTTTTGGACACGCTGGTCATCACCCGGTAACCCCGGAACAATTTCGGACTCCAATACTCTTCGTCCAATATATCGATCTTCACCTCCGGACCATTCTGGAGTTCCTCGTCACGTCCGGGATCTCATCCTGGACTCTGAACAACCTTCGGTAACCACATAGTATTCCCATTACAACTCTAGCGTCACCGAACCTTAAGTGTGTAGACCCTACGGGTTCGGGAAACATGCAGACATGACCGAGATACCTCTCCGGTCAATAACCAATAGCGGGATCTGGATACCCATATTGGCTCCCACATGTCCACGATGATCTCATCGAATGGACCACTATGTCAGGGATTCAATCAATCCCGTACGCAATTCCCTTTGTCCATCGGTATGCTACTTGCCCGAGATTCGATCGTCGGTATCCTCATACCTCGTTCAATCTCGTTACCGGTAAGTCTCTTTACTCGTTCCGCAACACATGATCCCGTGAATAACTCCTTAGTCACATTGAGCTCATTATGATGATGCATTACCGAGTGGGCCCAGAGATACCTCTCCGTCATACGGAGTGATAAATCCCAGTCTTGATTCGTGCCAACCTAACAGACACTTTCGGAGATACCTGTAGTGCACCTTTATAGCCACCCAGTTATGTTATGACGTTTGGTACACCCAAAGCATTCCTACGGTATCCGGTAGTTGCACAATGTCATGGTCTAAGGAAATGATTCTTGACATTAGAAAAGCTCTAGCGAACGAACTACACGATCTTGTGCCAAGCTTAGGATGGGGTCTTGTCCATCACATCATTCTCCTAATGATGTGATCCCGTTATCAATGACATCCAATGTCCATGATCAGGAAACCATAACCATCTATTGATCAACGAACTAGTCAACTAGAGGCTCACTAGGGACATGTTGTGGTCTATGTATTCACACATGTATTACGATTTTCAGTTAATACAATTATAGCATGAACAATAGACAATTATCATGAACAAGGAAATACAATAATAACCATTTTATTATTGCCTCTAGGGCATATTTCCAACACCGAACTCGCTCATCGACCGAGGCTATCCATCCCATGTGGTTCTGTGCGCGGAGGGACTTCGCAGTCGTTGCCGTTGGCATTGCCATTGTCGTTGATGTTGTCGTCACCGTCATTACCACCACCGTTGCTAGCGATTGGCGTGTCCACCATGTAGCAGTTGTAGGTCGAGGTCTTGAGCCACTTGTGCGAGGGCGCTTTGGCTGATAGTCGGCTATCGGTAGAATCACCGACCTCCTCTTTTGTGTCTCCCACCTCATTAGTGGCTCCTTCGAGATGGGTGGAGGGTGGGTCGAAAAAATCGACTTCTTCCGGCATCGCCAAGATCCGTTTCAAGATCGAGATCAGGAGATCCGACGTCTACTGCTCTTGGATCTGGCGAGATGCCAAACCCGAGAAGATCAACTCTCCATGTCAATCTGTGGTATACCTCATGTTGCCGAATCTTAAGATCCGTGCTGAAGTGAAGGTCTCGACCTGGCCAGCCGAGTCAGGGCATAAGTGGCAAAGCTGATGATGAACATCTGTCCTAGCACGAAGATTGTGTTGTAACCAATCTGAGTGCTCATCCGAACTCCCATTGCGTTGCAACTTTCACCGAGCAGGACCTACATGGGCCACCACTGTCGGAGCTAAATCCTGCAGATTCCTCACAAGGGTATCCTTAGCTAAGCTACTTGGCGAGATGGTAATAGAGGCACAAGTTTTTACCCAGGTTCGGCCTCACTCGATGGAGATGATACCCTACATTCTGATCTTTGATTTTTTTTTTTGCATTGGGGTGTATACTACGACGAGCCCGACACCTGGCTTATATAGCATAACGGGGGCCCTAGGGTTTACACAACTAGGTCGGCTATGTCTAGGGGAGGTAGAACTCTCCACGACTCTGCCTTCTTGCCTTGTACGTCAAGCCTTCCATCACCATGTATATCACGATGGGCCGCCCAAAGTGGCTTAGGACAGAACCGCTAAGGAGCCCACAGGCCCACCAAGCCAGGCTGGAACCGCCGTCACGAGAGGCCCCTTAGCCGGGATACCGTCAAAAGAAAAGCCAAAAGTGTTTTCTATGATGAGAAAGGAAGTTGAGTAATTAGCACTTAACAGGAAAGACGAATAAGAGCCTGTTTGGGACTACATTGCTCCTTAAAATTCAGCTCCGCTCCTGAAAACATAAGCCAAACGGGGTAGCTCCACGATATGCCGCTCCATGAAAAAACTAGAATCTGGGGTACAACTCCCAGTTTTTTATGAAACTTGTGAGGGGGTGCTCCAAAAAACTCTAGAAGCTGGAGTTGGGGGAAAATTACCCACCACTGCCACCAGTAAGTGCATACCCCTTCGTTTCTCCCCTCTCATCCAATCAAATAGATCATTTTCACCAAACTTTCCATTCTTGAGGCTGGAGCTACATGGAAGCTTTTCTTTGGTAGTGCACAACTTCTCTATGAAACTGCTCTAAAATGAATTTGGTGGAGTGAAACTGATTTTAGTGAAGCGGAGCAGTCCCAAACAAGCCCTAAATCTCTTGAAAAAACTGGTTTTCATTAGGTGCCCTATACACCCGGACGGAGGGAGAATTCAGGCCCATCAATGGTTCATTTTGCTCCAAAGCATCATTGAAGATTGGCAACCTACAACTGATCTGGACAGATGAGACTGTTCTTGTAATTCCTCCGTCTACTGTACTGATCTGTAAAAATGTACAAGCCCTCAAGAGAAATTCCCCTCAAGAGGACTCTCACGTTTTGTTCAAAAAGCTCTGGAAATCAGCCACGATGCTTTAGGCGCAAAGTCTGTTTCTGGCCAGTGTCAACACAAGGAGTCTGCCCTATGTTTTCTGGGACTTAAACTGTTTCTGCTGGGCGTTGGGTGTGCTGCAAAATGCACTGTTTCTTGTCGGTTTCAGGAATGGAATCGGTGCGGATAAGCTCCTTGATGTGAAGCAAAAGAGAATCGAATCGTGTGAGAACGACTGAAGGAACAAAGTTGTGCCTCGTGTACCGGCTGCCGGTCATCCAAAACAGTGCGTCCGCCATGGCCGCTGCCGAGAGAAGAGAACACAACACACGCGGTGCACCGGACCAAGGTTTTATGTCGCTGAAAGTTCATCATCCATTCTTTTCCCCTCACTTGATCACCTTGGTTTGCTACACACAAGTCACAACCCAAAGACGACACCCCAGCCGGTGATGGATGCCCACATTCCTCTGTCCATTTTCTGCTACACGCACTGACTTACACGCACATACAGACACAACACATACGGTTCCTCACAATTCTTATTCTGCTCTACGGAGTCCTTAGGCGAGAGCCACCTAGTTACGCCTATGCGAAAATTTGGTAAATGACGGGCTGGGCTGGGACCTCCGGCCTTGGCCATGCTCAGGCCGACCGACGCGCGGCGCGGTCAGTGACCGCCGCCGCTGACGGCCCGGAACTGGCGCCTGGAGATCTTGGGCAGCAGGAATATGCCGACGATGCCGCCGATGAGCGCGAAGGCGGACGCCATGCCGAACGCCGGGATGTTGCCCTTGCCGAACAGCTCGTCCCACGGCCCCGCCCCCACCGCGATGATCACCTGGGGTATCACGATGGCGATGTTCAGCACGCCCGTGCACAGCCCTGCACCGTCCAAACAAACCATCAGTTAGTTACCCGTCAACACCGGAACAAAATAAATCTCAAGTGGCCAACACTGAAGAATAAAGTTGAGGAGCATCCGTCCGCACACACCTTGGCCACCGCCTCTGTTCGCCGCCAGCTGCGCCGTCACCGCGAAAGGGACACTGTACAGAATCTGCAGCGGTGCAACTTGTGAGAGAGGAAAAGGAAAAAACCAACCTAATCAGGTGGCAGAAGGGATGCTGATGCTTACGGCGAGAGGGACTCCGAGGAAGGCGAAGAGGGCGAGGGAGACGATCTTGATCTCCTTGCTGGCGGTGATGGCGTGCTGGATGTACCCATGCATGTCCTGAGTAGCCCACCAGCTTATGATGCAAATGGCCGCCATGGAGAGGCAGACGAGGAAGTTGCTCGACACCCACACCACCCGCGGGCCTAGCCTCTTGCACAGCGGCTCGATCAGGAAGGAGCTGAACCCCAGGACGACCTGCATGCATGCACGCGCAAGTGTCAGTACTCCAAGTTTCTTCTATCACATCTCCGCTCAAGGAGCAGACGGAATGATGGAGGAAGTAGTGAATCTTAATTACCGAGTTGAGTAGCAGGCCGAACGCCCCGGCCCTGACACCTGCCTGGAACGCGTTGGCCTCGTCGGGGGTTCCCTTGGGGTCACCGTGGTAGATCTCACGACCCATCCAGTCGGTGTCGTAGAGGATGAAGGGGAACCAGGACAGCTGCAAGCACAAACATGTACACAGTGAGTGAAGCGTGGTGTTAAACTTGAGAGTAAACCCTGAAACATCGTGAAGCACGTACCCAGGTGAGGCCAGTGACGAGGAGCACTGATGGCATTCCAGGAGGCAAGTTCTTGAAGCCTTTGAACACGGCGAGCGGCCCAGTGGGCTCGACTTCAACCTGGCCATTGGCCTTTGTTGGGAGGGGCGCGATCGCCTTGTACGGTATCTCCTTGGCGAAGATCACAGTTATCACCAAACAGAAGGCCAGGAACAGCTGAAAAACACACATACGGAAAAAAGGACCACGTTTCAACAATGGTGCACAGAGATGGTCATACATAGCAGGGTTTAGGGTTTATCGATCCAAGTTTGCTCATTCTCAAGTTTGTTTATGACGTACGAGTAATAATAAACACTATGGAGTGACTTACCACTGCCACCAGAAATGCGCCTTTCAGATTTGCGCAGGCTTCACAGCAAGCCCTTGTCCGGAGGAACGGAAACCACCTATGAAATTAGCCAAGCGAAAAATGCAACTTGTCAGTACAGTAAGTACTTATGTGCGGAACAGAAGAGAAGATAAGTGTTGGCTTACTTGTGCCAGTTATTTGTGGAACCAGAGGAGTATCCAAGGATATTTCCTAGTGCCATCCAAGAACAGAAGATTGAATTTGCTGCACTGGGTCCATGTTGAGCTGTTGAACAGAAAGAAAAGGGAGATCAGATCCCAGATACAATTTGATTGCACGGCATAACAGGCAGAGGCTAGTTCAATTAGTTTGCCTGAACAAACTAGCACAACTGAACTATCATGAAAAATTACCTGATAAATCAGCCATCAGAGCACGCGCTGGACCCTGTAAATTCCATGGGAAAATCAAGTGAAATTAGTCATAGCGTTTTGGTTTGGGCGAAATTCTTGAACATGACTACTACAGTACTCATCTAAAAGCACTTACTTGCACAGTGTTGTTGGAGAAGTCAAGGAGCCAGAATCCAAGAACATACACAATTGCAGCGTGCCAACGAGGCCCATGATAGAGACTGTAGTTATCACGCCAAAATGTCAGACCAGCTTGCAATGGTCAGTTGCTATGGAAAAGGAAAATGCAAAGCCAAGGCCAGGCAACGAGCACATCACCTGCACTCTTCCTTGCTGTCACCCAGAGCAGCTCCAATGTCAGCCGAGAAGCCGACGACTACGACCTGCGTAAAGCAGAGTAAATGTAAATTTTATTACGAAGAAAAAAAAACTCATGAACCGTAAGAAGATAACCAAGGAACGGTGCTACTCACAGCAATGCAGATGAGGATACATCCTGTCAGAATAAACGGTCTGCGTCTTCCCCATCTAGAAGTGCACTTGTCACTGTAGAGCCCAACGCATGGTTGAACCTGCAGGTCAGAGGATGGAAATTGATTATAATTTGTTGATGTAGCTACAGAATCTGATAACTGCTAGCTGTAGTTTTTTCTGCATAGAGTGCTTCAGATATGATTTACAGTTTGGTGTGAACTAGGTGTGAAAGTATCTAGCACCAGTACTATGATGAAATGTAATCTTATGCTAGTTATCACATTTGCAGGGCATATTTCATCACAGGAACTATGTTGAGGTTGATACTCACCACTAATCCAGCAATAGGGCCGCAGAGCCACATGAATGAAGTCAGAGCATGCGAAAGTCCCAGAGTCTGCACAAATGTGGCAAAATTCAGATAGTCAGTGGACAGTAACAGAATAATAGGTGGTAGAATTTGCAGTATCAGCAACTCTAATTCCCATCAGTTTATTGGCACAAAAAGCAAACAACAACACCAGCAAGTAGTTACTGAATTTTACACTGCTCTTTTGTTATCAAGCAATAGCAAATGGTTTAGAAAACTTGGAACTCTTTCACCCCAGAGCTGCAACTGTTCAGTTCCACCACACAAACACTGTATATTGTTGTGACAGGTTTGTTCCCCTGATCCATACACCGCACATAGAAGATTTTGCACAGTCCAGATATGAAAACTGAAGCCCACAGAGGACACATCTGGACTGGACTGTGAGTTCCTCTCCAGTTTGACCGCTCACATGTGTGCAGGAATAATACTCCATATGGCCAGGTAAGGCAACTTGCCAAGCTGTATTTATACATATTGGCCATGATGTATGCATGGCCGCATCCACCTACCCATCTTGATGGTACTTGGCTCGAGAAGGCTAACGTGATCAGGATGAAATTGTTGTATGTATCCAGAAATATATAGCTCACGGGATACACCTAGCTAGCAACAACAGTGTGTGTGTGCATGGACCATCCTGATCAATCAAGTAACTTTCTTCTACGTACGGATATACGTTAGCTGAATTTTTTTTTTCATTTATATACCTATATATCTATATAAAATACATAGTAGTAGTAGTACTCCTTCTCAGGCCTGAACTGAAACTAAGACCGTACTAATTCCTCGTCTTTGTTTATAGTAGCAACGTTGAGGCGCCGACGAGCGGTCAATTACGTTTCGAGATTTCCCTATCAGGCCATGCAGTTTCCCCCCAGAAATTAAGGCGCACGGCGGACCGACCATTGACCACCGTCCGCGTACTTTAGCGAGGCACCATCATATATACATATCCCGTTTCGATCTCCAGCATGTAAGGAGTGCCATGGCATGACAGCAACGCGCGTGCTTGAACAGATGAAAAGCATGTAGCATGATGTTGCCAGGCTAATTACTCTACTCATTAGTGCTTGCTGATATAATATTAATAGTTGAGGAGTAATATATAGCTACGTATTAAAGGAGTACAGTTCATCAGACAAAGGTGATGGATGTGTGATGGTGTGTATATCTTGTCCTCGAGTGCACCGTATGGCTTGGGGGTTTGACTTCTGTGGGTCTGTGGATTGAAGTTGGTGTGCAGAAAGGTTTTAGGCTTTTTGCTCACACACAGAATTGAGGCTTTTTGCCAACATCGACGAAAACCATTTGGGTGGTGACACTAGATAGCCTTGACACGAGAAGATGGGTCGAGAAGCTGCACATCCTACGTGACCACACCATCATATATACGAGTGAGCAACGTATCGTCATGGAAAAGATATATCTCTTGATCTCAAAGGATACGAAAACAGATAGACTTCTAGCCACAGCCACACGTGTACTCACTAATACGCTGACAAAAAGCTGTTGGAAAAAGAACAAAAACCAGTGCGAAGAAACGAACAAGCTTGACATCTCGGTCAAACCTCACGTTTCTCCGAATAGAAACTGTTACGCTTGAATCTACCGTTTCAAAAAAGAAAAGTAAAATGAAAGCTGCACAAACTTCAGAAATGATAAACAAGGAGAAGAAGGTTCTCCGAAGGAAATATGAGCTGCTGGCACAGAAAATTATGAACTCGCCATCTTTTAAAATTTTGCAGGCATCTTTTATGTTACTCTTCAGACCTTTGCAGATTTATTTAGAAAGCAAAACACTAAAAACTACGGATCGAATAGCTTTTTCGTCCCCGAGGTGCGCATGCACGGCCGGGACGACGACGCGCGGTGCATGCGCGCACACAGGCATGGACATGGCCTCACGGCGCGCGTGTGAACTCGGCTGTACTCGGGTTGCATGTACGTGTGGTATACCTGGACGTAGGGGGTGAGCAGGGAGAGCTGGAGCGCCCATCCGTACTGCACGCCGCCGGCGACCATGCCGGCGAGGATGAGCCTGCCGAGGCTGATGTCCACGGCGGGGGCGTCCGCCCCGCCGGCGGCGCCGCCGCCTCCGCCGCCGACCCCCACCGAGAGCTCCACCTCGCCGTTGCCGCCGCCGCGCGCCATCGTCGCAGGGGGGCCGCCTGGACGATCACCACCTCGTTCGTTCGCCTATCAACTCTACGGCGCGTCGGATCAACGCCGGGGAGGAAGGAGGACGTTGATCGGATCAACGCCGGGGAAGAAGGGTCTGACGGGAGGAGGAAGAGGGGGAGACGAGAGCGGAAAGTGCGAGTGGGGGAGAGAGGTGTGAGGGAAGGAGCGTGGAGTGAGGAGAGGAGAGGTGGTGGTGTGGGTTTGTGTTGGGAGCGATGGAGGGGGGAAGGGGCGGGGCATTTAAAGGCCGTCTGTGTGTGCCGATCGAGTGCGACGCAGGCCGCGCTGATTAACCCGGATGCGGCCTCCCGTCCGTCCGTGCTATCCATCACCCTGCCCCTGCCCCGGCCCTGGTGCATTCGTGCAGTATGGTAGTACTAGGTTCTAAAGTAAAATTGATTGTTGCTAGTATGTTTTTAATGAGGCCATATCCTGATCTTTATCTATATGTGCACACCTTTCTTGATAAGATTTATCTATCCGTGCAGATGCTCACTTGGTTTATCTATTGTAGTGCACTTTTTCTGATAAGATTTATCTATTTATTACACTTGGTTGTGGTTTTTGGGCATCTATTTGATGTTTCTATTTCCTTTCTACTAAAGTCGGGTTTTTTTTACCATCGAATCATGATCCAATGGTAAAGGGCTTAAGACAATTTTTCTCGGTTTGTGTCTCTCTTTCACTCTCGAATTCCCCGATCCGCACCCAGTGCGTCGCGGATCCGCACGAGACAAATGTGAGCACCATCGTCATTTGAACTTTGCCCATTACATGCCCATGTTTCCCGTGGATGAACACTGCCACGTTGCATTGTTGCCTCATCCGAACAATCGGTCACCTCAGTTGTCCAATCTCATCGCGCAACCTATCCCTCCATTCCGGAGAGCAGAAAGAATTGCAGTTCTTCTTCGTCTCTGCAGGTAACACATGTCACAACCCCCTCCTGTTGGCGATTCCTTGAGCTAAGGTGTGTGGAAGGATACGGGCAACTTATCACTAACAACGGTAAATCCATCTTGTCCAGCACTCCCAGCCCTGACTAAAGAAAACCTAACTACTGTCGATGTGGGCCTTAAGCCATGCTTCATCTCCATGGCTCTCTTCCTCAGGCTTCGACGACCTCGCTACTGCAGGCTACGATAGATAACGAAATCACGAAAAAGGATATTCTTCTCTCTCTCTTTTTTGCGGAAAAGAGATTCGATGACAAAATTCAACCGATGATGTGCACATACACCCACGCCCATCATCGTGCATACACACCCCGCCCACATCCAAGCATGACCACAAGCGTCAATTGAAGATTATACCTAACCATTTTCACTCGAATAGTACCACAACTCTGCTTATGCTTTCCCTAAAAACAAATAACCTCTGCTCATGTGCCGTCGCTATGTTGCTATACTCCGGTTACAGCCAAACGGTAAACGGAGATTTCCAACGTGGTCCACCGCACACGACCGTGACAACACCCAGTTTATGTTTGTCCAATTGTCCCGAGAATTTTTCTACCTTTCCTAATGCAAACGCTATGATTCCGCCATACTCGACAAAACTACAACCCATCAATCTTCACCGCTCATGCGAGTTAGGAGGACAGCCCATCAAGATTCAATCCTGGTTTCTGGTGTCCACATTTATCCAGAATTTATTTCAGGATTTCCGACGATGCACGTTCAGTGCGAGGAGACGTTTTCACCGACTATACTTTGTAAAATCTCAAGAGAATATATTCGGCTCGGTTTTCCAAAGATGCTCATAGAAATAAGATATGTGTGTGTTTATAGAAATGCATGTATGCGCATATACATGAGCGCTCCACCGTCCATGGCGCCGTTACGTACGTTACTCCTACTCCACCGTGCTGTCAATAAGAAAAAAGAAAAACGTGCGTTACTCAACCGCGCGTCTCCGGGCCGGAGCGAGGGGGGGCTGGCGTCGTCTCGTCGGCGTCCGTCGACCGACCGGGCGGTTGGCGACGAGCGGTCGCGTGATCCCCGCGACCGAGGCGCGTCGGCCGTGCTCCCGCAGTGACGCGCGGGGCGCACCTCTACGTGGCGGCGTGGGTGGGTGGGAGACGACCGGGGTACACGAGACACGTCCGTCCGTCCGTCCGTCGTCAAAGGCGACCGACGTCGCGCGGATGCGGGGCAGTTGTAGTAATTAAAGGGGCCGGTCGCCATTAGTGCCTGCTAATCTTGGGCTCTCCGTTCTCAGCACATTTTTGGCCGGCGAGTGACGCGTCCGGACCGTGGGCGGCGTACCGACGTGCCCGCGCGCCTCGCACCTTCGGTTCGTTGGCAGCAAGCACACTGCACACGTGAATGTATTTCGATCGACCTAATCTCGTGGTAATAACATGTCGCAGGAACTTTTGTAAAAATATTGCGCCTCAACCACAGTGCCAGTAGGTCGTGCTGTACTGCTGTATGAGCCGTGATCGATGTGGTCCAGTACAGTGTATGTATGCGCGGTGCTGGTGCGCCGTGCGTGCGTGCCTGCATGCAGAGTGACACTTGTGTTGCCAGCCATGTGAGTTGCACGATGTTGATGCGTCTGTGCAGTATGCGCATACATCATAATTGAGATTTGCTCTTTTGTAAGTAGGACTTGGACGCGATCTTCAGAAATATATCGACATTAGTAGAAAATATATTCATATCTGGACGGGAATATATGGGGCCGGCAAAGTATGGCTCCAGTACCCACTTTATTCGCTCTAAACACCGATCATTTACGCCACTGATTAATCCGTCGAGATATACAGATATATTTCCAGGATATGATCGCTCGATCGTCCGTTGCGCCGGGGTCAGTTGCATGCTAAAATCCAATTCGGCGCAGCCCGGCACCGATCAAGAGCCAGCCAGCGAACAAAAACCAACATAAATACGTACGTGATGATGTGATGAGATCACGATCGACGGTGCGCATATCGGGCAGGAGGAGTAGACGGTACGTTTTTGCCTCTCTCTTTCTCTTTTGGAGATTCACTTCCCGGGCGGTCGGTCTCAGCGGCCCGGCTTTTGTTCGCTTGCCCGTAGAATTACATCCGGGTTGATATATGCAGTGCCCATGTGTCGCCCACGCGTCGACCCGTCGTCTAGAACGAAAACGATCGAGATGCACCGGCCGCACCGGCAACGGCTGCATGTCACCGGCCACATGTACGTGGATCGCTTCGCTTGGGTCTTTCACTAAGAGCCACATCAGTGCTGAAAGATCACATAGGTTTGGTTGATCCCACACAAACTTGACAAGTTCCAGCTTATTGCTTGAAATGCCTCTGTCGGCTAGAACCGCGTATAGCAGACGCATGATGCGCCGCATCGTAGTACATGCATATGCCATCGACCACTTGGACGTGGATCGCCCGGCTTGGGCCTCAGCCCTCACGAGCTACTTTTCAAAGCTAAAAAGAATGATTGTAAAAAAAAATTGTAGTTTGGACCCTCATTTCTTTAATATAAATTGGAGTGGAAGCCTCTCTCTTCTAGTAAAGAAAATAGAAATGGATTCTTGGGTTGTCACAACTTTTGGATGAAATGGCATTCACGGGTAGCATATATCACGTATGCGGCTTTGCTTCGTCCGCCCATCTCCCGTGAGAGGCTCTCTCGGGCGAAACCTAGCACCAACAGTGCCCGGGACGGCAGGACCTTCCATCTACTCCTCCGTCTTGCCACCGGCCACCGCGGGTGGGGGGTGGGGGGCATCGGTCGAAGCCCGGTTGCCGTCGGTGGCGGCGGGGGATCTCCTCCCGTCCTATCACAGTGGGTTGTGCTGCAAACTCTCGCGAGGACGCCAAGCTTGGTGCGGGGGCTTGGCAACGGGCCGCCATGGGGTGGTACCGTGGCGTGATCTCCTCTCCTCCTCCTCCTCTCATGGTAGTGCGCCGGGGATCTGAAAGTGCAACAAATCCCTGGATGGTTTTGATAATTCTTAACAACATATAGCTCATTGAACTAATTCTCTTTCAAGATGATCATTTCAAAAAGTTGAATGATTAGCATGACATGGACTAGAGATGTGGACCCCTCAAAATGCTAAGGACATATATTGGCAACAAGCTCAAGACTTTACATTTTCATTTTAGTGATCCAAGATCACATTGAGTCCATAGGAAAGCTAATACTATTAAAAGGGAATGAGGTGTTGCTTAATGGCTTGCTTGGTCAAAATGCTTAGTGATATGCTCCAAAACCCTCAGCCACTTTCTTATTTCCACATATGTCCTAAACCTAAAAGTCAAACTCGGCCCCACCGATTTGATCTATCCGACGCCACCGAGTTCATTTGACATAGCCACTGCCACAAACCCTAATCACTTCGGTTTCACCGATAGGGATCTCGGTCTCACCAGATGGGATTGCAAACTCTCTGTTTCCTTTTCGTAACGTTTAGGTCTCACCGAAATGAGCGATCGGTCCCACTGAGTTCGCAATGCAAACTCCCTGTTTCCTTTTTGTCACATTTCGGTCTCACCGAAATGAGCGAATCGGTCTCACCGAGTTTGCCTGACCAACTCTCTGTTTGCCTATTACTGAAATCGGTCCCACCGAGTTCATGTGATCGGTCTCACCGAGATCAAGTTATGCCCTAACCCTAGCACATCGGTCCCACCGAGTTGATCATGTCGGTCCCACCAAAAAGCCTAACGTTCACATTTTGAATTGAATCGGTCTGACCGAGTTTCACCATTCGGTTTCACCGAGTTTGAGAATCTGTGTGTAATAGTTAGATTTTGTGTGGAGGCTATATATACCCCTCCACCCACTCTTCTTCGTGGGGAGAGCCATCAGAACGTGCCTACACTTTCAGCATTCATTATCTGAGAAAGAACCACCTACTCATGTGTTGAGACCAAGACATTCCATTCCAACCACGAGAATCTTGACCTCTAGCCTTCCCCAAGTTGCTTTCCACTCAAATCATCTTTCCACCATAGCCAAATCTATGAGAGAGAG